TCGCTCAGTCATGTATGACTCTTTGCGACCCCAAGGACTGTACCATACCAGGCCTCCCTGTCCATCACCAGCTCCCAGAGTTTACTCAAACTCATGTCCATTGAGTCAGTGATGCCATCCAACCATCTCATCCTCTGTCATCCCCTTCTCCCACCTTCAATCTTTCCCAGCACCAGGGTCTTTTCAAATGAGTCGGTTCCTTGCATCAGGCGGCCAAAGTATTGGAGTTTCAGCTTCAACATCAGTCCCTCCAATTCAGGGCTGATTTCCTTTAGGATGGACTGGTTGGATCTCCTTGCAGTCCAAGGGACTCTCAAGAGTCTCCTCCAGCACCACGGTTCAAAAGCATCAATTCTTTGGCACTCAGCTTTCTTTATAGTCCAACTCTCATATCCATACGTGACTCCTGGAAAAACCATAGCTTTAACTAGACAGACTTTTGTTGGCAAAGTAATGTCTTTGCTTTTTAATATGCTGTCTAGGTTGGTCATAGCTTTTCTTCCAAGGAGCAAGCGTCTTTTAATTTCATGGCTGCAGTCACCATCCTCAGTGATTTTGGAGCCCCCCGAAATAAAGTCTCTCACTGTTCCCACTGTTTCCCCACCTATTTGCCATGAAATGATGGGATCGGATGCCATGATCTTTTCTGAATGTTGAGTTTTAAGCCAACTTTTTCACTCTCCTCTTTCACTTCATCAAGAGGCTCTTTAGTTCTTCTTTGCTTTCTGCCATAAGGGTGGTGTCATCTGCATATCTGACATTATTGATATTTCTCCTAGTGATCTTGATTCCAGCTTGTGCTTCATCCAGCCCAGCATTTCTCATGATGTACTCTGCATATAAGTTAAATAAGCAGGGTGACAATAGACAGCCTGGACGTACTCCTTTCCTGATTTGGAACCAGTCTGTTGTTCCATGTCCAGTTCTCACTGTTAGCAAATGCTTTTAAAAAAATCTTAGTTTTGTTTTACAGTCATCTAAAGCATTTACAGGTGACAGTGTTGAATTTTACCTGAGCCCTGTGCTCTTGAAAAACAGTGACTTTAAAGGAATACCCCCTTACCCTTTTGCTTTCTGAAACCAAACAAAAAACCCCAAAATATCTCACTGCAAAGAACCACATGACTTAGGTAAGACCCATGGATGCCCCCACTGTTTGTAAAGGACAAGGCCAGACACAGACCCTCCAAGTTCCCATCTTTGCCTCCTAAACCATAGCTGAAATGTTGGTCCTTACTGGCCCATCAGAGTAAAATGCTTGTCAGTCCAGCTTTGGTTGTTTCTCTCCTTCCTCCAGATCCTGAACTCTGGCCCACCCTCAGCCCGAGCCAGCACACAGCCCCTTGGAGAATACGCTGGACTCTGGGTAAGACATCCTCTTCTAGAAAGCACGAGGGTGGGGAAGTGGAGTGAGAAGAGGCTTGTTTACTCCCTTCCTAAATGAAAACCCCCTTTATATGCAAAACCTGAGCCCTCGCAGACCTCAGTCAAAGTGGCCTCTCTTCTGAGATATCGTCCATCCCTCTGTTGCAATGCAATGAAACCCCTTCTTTCCTCCTTTAAAAGAATCCTTTTGGACAAAAATCTCCCCTCGCTAAGTCCAGACTTATTTTGTATTTGAGCCCTGGCTTTCTAAGTCAAGTCTACAAGACAGGCACTTTCAGAGAGGCCTGGCTTTTATTACCCGTTTCCCCACCCCATCCCCCATACCTCTCCCTTTAGGTAATTTTTTTCTTTAAGTTTTTGGCTTAGCCTTTCATTTTTTAAAATATAAGGCAACCCGATAACACACTGCACCCTTGCTCCCATTTTTGGAGAACAAAGGCAGTCAGCCACACGCACCATCTCCATTTTTATAATACAAGCCTCACCCAAGATGTCTTAGCTTAACAAGCTGTCCACAGGGAGACCCTGGGCTTTGATGAGATTTCAGGGAGAAGAAAGCACTTTGTAAATCAGTGGCCCTCAAACTTGAGTATGTCCTAAATCACCTGGATGGCCTGTTACCAGGTCCCACCCAGAGTTTCTGACTCGGCGGGCCTGGGTTGGGGGAGGTGAGAGCTTGCTGGAGCTCCCAGGGACCAGACCTGGAGAAGCACTAGTGTGAGCCCCAGTCAGGGCAGGGCAAACATACTCAAGTCTCCCTAAGACATTGATGCCTCCAAGTGCAGGGCCTGAGGGGACAGCGGTGGGAACGTAGGCCCTGGGTTGACTACGGACCTTGGCCTGACGTTCCAGTTTGAAGTTCTCTTCTCAACAGTCACCTGTGGACCGGAAGCTTCTGGGAGCTTGTTAGGCAGGCAGACCCCGACCCAGGCCTGGTGAACCAGAGTCTGTGGTTTACAAAGAGCCCAGGTAAGGCTGTGCTTCCTCAGGTGAGAGGCACTGGCCTGAGTCTCCACAGCCCCGGGTTTTTATCTGTGGGTTATGGGGCTGAGGGCCCCTGGAGGGAAGCTGAAGAGGGCAGAGGCTCTGTCTGAGTTTAGACACCCTCTCGCCAAATGAGCAGGCCTCCTTGTAGTCCTCCTGTCCCTACCCACAGCCGACAGCGTCCGGGCAGTGTTTGGTTTGAGGAACAGCTGGGCAAAGTGCTGCCGGGAGTCCTGGCCTGCCGCTGCCTGAGTGCCCGTCCCGAGGGCTCCGCTTTCCTTCCTCTTCACGATCTCTAGGGGTGGCAGGTCGGTTCTGTGACCCCACAGACCCCCTCCCAGAGGACAGCGGCCTGAAGCTCCTTAGTGTCTGGGGGTGTCCACTTGGAGCCTGGAAATGAGCTAGTTGAAGGACATTTTGGCAAATGTCCCAAGGACACTTAGCAAATCCATGGCTGTCTGGAGGTTAGTGAGACACTGTCTGCCCCCCGGCTCGCCCCGTCTACCTGGGAAGCGCTAAAGTCGCTGGGCAGAGCGGTGTGGGTGGTAGGGGCGGCCGGGGCCCGATGCTGGAGTTTCTCCCTCAGCCCCTTTGTCTGCCTGGGGGGCAGCTCAGACAGGACGGGCCCTGGGACGGAGGGGGAAGGTCCCAGAGAAAATGCTGGGCCACCGAGAGAAGAGCCCCACCCCCGTGATGGACCCCTGTTCAGAGGCTCAGTGCATTCCCTCCTCTCATTTCTCTCCAGGTGAAGTCGCCCTCAGCCCACCAGGTTCCCCACCCACATTGCTCACCAGACCCCCTCCTCAGTCCTTTTCTCTCACGAGGACAGACACCTGCTCCAGGAGCTGGGAGGCAACATGACTCTGATTCCCTCCTTTCCTGGGAGGCAGGTGGCTCAATCCTTGACTCCCAGCTCAGGGCCTCCCTCGCCAGGTGCTGGGGCTGAAACCAGCTCCCCTTGGGGCTGTGAGGGGCTGATGGGTGTGGGTCTAGGACCCCTGCCCTGTCCTAGGACCAAAGACAGCCAGGGTGGCTGTGTCCTCCAGGACAGAGGCCTCTGTTCTGAGCATCGCAGGGTCCTCCCAAATCTTTCAGGAGTCCTTCACTCCATCCTCCACTCCTGGCGGGTGTTATCCCATTTTACACATGAAGCCACTGAGGCTCAGTGATAAGTGGCCACTCAAGGTCCTACTGATGGTCAGTAAAGGGTTGTGAGCACCCAAAGTGAAAGTCGCTCAGTCATGTCCAACTCTGCGACCCCATGGACTATACAGCCCGTGGAATTCTCCAGGCCAGAATACCGGAGTGGGTAGCCATTCCCTTCTCCAGGGGATCTTCCCAACCCAGGGATCGAACCTAGGTCTACCCGTACTGCAGGTGGATTCTTTACCAGCTGAGCCACCAGGGGAGCCCACTTAGCCCCCAAAGGCCTGCTCATTGTCCTGCTAGGCCAAGCAGGTGGAGCGGGACTGAGGGGTCCCAGGGCCTGGGTTGGGACTCTGGGCTCTGAGGCACAAGGGCCATCCTGCCGTGCTGGTGACCAGTTCTAACGTGTGGCTCGTGGAGGCTGAAAGGCCAGAAGAGACCCTGTCTGCAGAGCCCACCTCTGAGTCATGGCCTCGGTCAGGTATTGATAAAACCTGCCAGGGGAGGTGCCCCACCCGACGTCGGGGTGCAGGCCCCGACTCGGGCCCGCTCGCCCCATCCTGCCTGGTTTCATGTGGCAGGAACACTCTGGAGCCATCTGCTGGGTTTGGTATCCCAAGTCAAACAGCCTAGAAAGGGCTCCTTAAGCCTGGCCCCTGGAGTGGGGCCAGCTGTGGGCAGGTGGGATGGTCAGCATAGGGCCAGCCTTGGTGGGGGGGCTGAACTGTCCACCTGATGAGTTCAACTCAGAGAACGAAGTGGCAGGTCCTGGCATCTTGGGGGCAGCTGGCTTTGGCAGAAGGAACAGAACAGCTCAGAAGGAAAGAATGCACCGCATTTTCATTAAGGAATTTATTTCTCTTAAAAAAACAAAACAAAACAACAGTGGTTCGATCTAGATACAGCAGCACTGTGACATATTCGAGGAAACATACAAAGATCAGAGCAGCAAGAGAACAAAAGCCGGTATCTTCAGGAACAACCTCCAGAATGGAACTATTTTTATTCATCATTGTTAAAATTTCCCTGAAAAAAAAAAAAAAGAAAACCTTTGGATACTAGAAGGATTATTATTTTCACACTACCAACAGCCACGAAGCTCTTCTAATTGAGAACACTTGCTTCTGATCTATTACAAAAATGACTTAGTGATGGACTGGGGCAAGACATCTAGATTCTTCTTTTGGGGTGTGTCTTTCCCTCCAAAGGAGAGCTAGCATTTCAAAAGTTTTAGCCACTGTCCACAGCGCAAACCTTTAAAGTTAGACCTGATGAGCACTCATTCCTGCTGGAGCTTGAAAAGCTAGGCTGGTTGGTTGTAGGTACAGAAGGGGTCTCGGGGGATGAGGTGTCACCGTCGCGGTCTGTTGTGATCAGAAAGACGTGAGTTCTCTGTCATTCGTGACTCGCAGCCCTGTGCTTGGAGATGCACAAAGATTTCACATGCTTTCCGTACAAAGGCTGAAATGTTAGGAGGTCCTACTTCAGAGTGTGGAGCTAGAGAACAGGAGACAACCAGAGGGGTTGCCTCCAGGTACATAAGCACACAGCAAACCGAGAGGAGAGCCCAGTGTCACCCTGACTGGCCTTCCCTCTTCATCTCTGGGGACTGTTGATGGTCGACAAGGCCACTGTTTCCCTTGGCCGAGGCCTAGGGTGCCAAGATCAGGGGGCTGCAGGGCTGAGGTCTGGGTCAGCAGATCGCGTGAGAAAGTTGGTGGGAAATCTTTGAGGGAAGGGGGAGGACAGGGTGTGGAAGGATGAGGAGTTTCCATGGTGAGCTGGGCACCTTGGAATAGCATGGACACCCCCTGCCTCTCGGAGGGCAGGCCCTCAACATCATCCGGGCTTGCTAGGTTCAAGGGCAAGCAGCCGCATCCCACTTGTGCCTTCAATGCCAAGGCCACATGCCCACGCATGATCTCAGAACTCGCTGCCATTTGCCCCCACGGGCTGCCTGAGAAACGTGCGCCTACCAGGCCCTACCGCTAGCTTCTGGGGAGCATGGCCTCCGAGACCGAGGCTCCCCTTTGCTAAGAGCAGTGCATGTCAGGACAGAAGCCCTCCTGGGCTGCTCAAGACAGAGCAACACTTGGCTACTGTGCCAGCCAGCTGCCCTTGCAAGAAGCCTCATGGTTTTCAAAGTAATGATCAGGCCTAGAAGATCAGAGGATGAGTTGTTGTGGGAGTTGGTGTCATCCTCCAGGAAGGTGGGGTTGGGTCTTTGTGATCTTAAGAGGGATATTATGGGAGAACCCCCTGCCAGGGGGCTTGAGAAACACTCCTGGGTCATGGTGATCATGGTAGAGAGACCACCCCCATCCCACCGGGTACAGCGGCTTGTCTCCTGAAAAGTGGAAGCAGAGACGCTTCTGTGAGACCTTGTGTCTCACATCAAAGGCACAAAGTCAGCGAAGGTCTGGTGAGGACGTCATGACTTGGAGGAAGAAAGGTTCTTCCGTGAAGAGCTCCAATGCAGTAAAAAGATTTAAATCCACTTGCTGTCCAAATATGACTCATCCTGGACAGGTGGATGGTAGGAAGTTTTCTTCTTAATTAAAAACAATCTTTTAAAAACTGCAGCTATAGAAAACAAGCCAGAGTAGAAGCTTGGGGCAGGGTGGGGTGCAGGGTCGGGGCATCCAGGGGCAGGACCTGTGGGGACCCCGAGGGGAGGGGCTGACTTTCAGGCACTGTTCTAAATGAAGATGCCCCTTCTCTGTACAGAGCAATGGGCCTAAAGGAAGAGCAGGATTGTAAAGGCCAGCAAGTCTGACTCTGTGTCCTCTGGGCGCTTGGGGGCAGATAGTGACTGTGAAGGAAGACGCCTCTGAGTCTAAGAGCCGTGAAAAGCTCTGTGCTCTTAGCATCTCTGCTCTCACAACGCAGAAACCCACTGATTCATGCTTTCTTTCTTGCTCCTTGAGGATGCTTAATGCAAACCGACAGTACATTGGCTTTGAGGTGCAGAGACTGACTTCTGCACACCAGTCCATTTGGAAAAGCTTGAGTCACTGTGAATGCGGCAAGATGAATGAAACTTCCGGACAGGAGGGTGGTGGAGTGGGCTAGTGACTATCCCAGCGGGAAGACTGTCCCTCTTTTCATTAAGAAAGGAAGGTCAGTCAGAGCTCGAGGATCTTAAAATACTGGTCAAAGAGCTTCACTTCCTCAGCAAAAAATCAGTATGGCTGTTTGTATTCATCTTGTACTCAGCCCAGGAAAGGGAAGGGAAGCAGCCTTGGAGACATGAGCCGGTCTTGAAGAAAATAATACTGTGTATTAAAGGGATCTGAGGGAAGCCCAACTGTTTCCTGGCTCCTCTTTGCTTGTAAAATGGCCTCAAAATGGTCAGTTGCAAAGGTCAGGCGCCTGTCTAGTGCCCAGACCTAGTGGCAAGGTTTGGGGAAGGAGCATGGGACCTACACACAAGGGGACACACTGGCTTCTCTCTCTTCCTGAAACCTCAAGCTCCAAAGCTGCCCGGCCACCTAGAGAAGTAAGTTTGGGAGAATTGGAAGCCCCACGGGTGGCCTGAGGCCATGGTTCTCACACTCTGGGGTGCAACAGAATGACCTGGCAAGCTTTTTGAAGAAGCGGGTTCCTGGACCTACCCCGAGAACCCTGTTCTGTGGGTTTGGGGTGGAGCCTGGAGTCTGTATTTTGATGGGAGATGTCGCTGCAGGAAGTACAGGGCCCACGCCAGGAGAAACCCAGGTAGCTGCCTGGTAGCTGAGACCGGGTCTGACTGAGGCCAACCGCGCAGGCAGGAGAGCGTGGGAGGTTGACCTCTCACCCAATCTGGGAGGGGAAGCAAAGGAGGGTTTGCTCCTTGTCATCTTGTGAAGGCAGCAGGGGAAGGTACCCTGGGGCTGGATGGCCAGGCTCAAAGGGCCTTTTAGAGGCCCTGGGCTGGCAAAGTCACCACATCCTCCTGGGGCCGCTTGTGCCTGGAGATTTGACATGCCCAGTTAATACGTGCCTCTGCCCTCCCTCACCCAGAAGGGACGGTGGGTCCTGGGCTTCTTTGGTGGCCCAGCCTCTCCGATTTGCTTGGAGAACCAACCACATCCATCCATCCATCCATGTCACCTGGGCCAATGAATTTATGGGGGCCCTCGAAGCTCTCAAGACCCTCTGATCCCATATATACTCAAGGGATGTGCCTGGAGGCCCTGGGCAAACCACTCTCCCCTCTACAAACCCAAGACCTCTGCCCCTGATGCTTCCATGGGCCGGAAGGGCTTGGGACTCTTGGGGTTCCATGACTACTTATCCTTGCTATGTGTCTCTTAAAAATAGAATAATCCCCAAATACAAGACTCTTGAAAACATACTGGCTTCAGCAGTCAGAACCTGCTCAGAAAGAAAGAGACCTAGACACCACTGTGCTGAAGACTCTCAGCTCCAAGTACTGGCTGCCTTCCAGAAGGAAGAGGAGGCCGAGGCTGAAGCAATGGTGGCATCGTGCACCCCCAAAGGGAAAGTGCATGTCTTGATGGAGCAGAGCTCAGGTGACTCCATGCACCCAACGGAAGATATTCTGGCTGGGGGTGATGTCCCAGTGTTATTTAATTCAGGTGGTTACAAGCCAACAGAATGAGGGTGCCAATGGGAGGAAAAGCTTATAGAGATGGATACAACCAATCCTTTAAAGGTGAAGTGTGGATCATTTTCTACATTTAATAAAAACATTTTCTCATTTGAGGCTCTGGAAGTCTTGAGTCACATTTTTTCATTGTTGTTGTAAATCCCCCCCCCCACCAACCCCCCTCTAAAATGTCTTAAAACACATGGCTTAACAGTGGCTGCACAGAAAATATACACCCTCAAAGTCTGACTTTCTTTTAAATACAAATATACAAAATGTAAACTGAGACAAGAGAAATATACAAAACTTTTCTTTAAAAATAATAAAGACAAAATTCAGTTCTAGTTATTAGGATGCTATTAAAATACGTGCAAGTTGTTGTATCCGACTGGATTTCTATTGCAATGTTCGTCAGAGACATGTCCAATCCATCTCGGCTCGAGGGCCGCCTCCGAACACAGACCTGAGTGGAAATCTCTTTGGGGAACTGGGAGGCTCCCGGTCTCAGGGGTGGGCGGCCTCCTTCCCCGGCTCCTGGAGGGCTTCCCCACCCGCCCGCCGGGGTGGGAGCTCCTCCGGTCACAAGTCCGCTTCTAAGAAGGGTCCAGGCTGGTCCCACCGTGGACTTCAGGCCAGAGCTGCAACTAGCTGCTTCCAGTGGAGTTTGAACTCACGTGGTTTGAATTGATGTGGTGGTTAAAACTGGTCTTGGAATTGGGTGAACTCTTGGAATTGTTCTGATGCTGGGAGGGTGGGTGAGCAGAGAGGAGAGAAGGTGAGAGAGCAAGTCAGTCACTGCAGAGTCAGGCCCTGGGGCCCTTGCCTCATGGGGGCCTCAGAACCTGAGCCAGAGAAGTGCTCGGGTAACCAGCCCTCCCTCTTGCTTTCTGCTGCCTTCTGTTTCCCCCCCGCAGGCCTAGGTTCACAGAGCACCCTGCGGGCGGAGGGCTTCTCCTGGTGCCTGGGAGAAGCTATGGAATTCACAGAAGCCCAAGGCAGGGAGGAGGCGGTCCCTCTGTATTAATATGTCCATGGTTAGACCTGCTGGCCTGGAGTCAGGCTGCCGGTTCAAACCCTAAATGTGCCACTTCTTAGCTGAGTGACCCCGAGCAAGTGTCTGACTCCCTCGGTTGCCTGGCCTTTGTAAGGTGGGGTAGGAGCCACGTGTGCCCGGGGCTGTTGGAAAAAGGCAAGAAGGCTGTGTATACAAAGGGCTCTCTGGGCTGCCCGGCTCCGGAACCATGAGCTGCTCATCCTCAGTCCCCCGGCAGTCTCTCAGCACCCCATCCCAGGAGAAGAGAGATCCGGGCGTCTGCTGCCCCGGTTGGTGGTGTTTCAGGCTCATGCTGAGGCTACTGTTCTCCACCCCACTAAGTCCTCTTCCCACCCGGGGCAGCGAGCACCTCCATCCTGCATTTTCTGGTGGGCAAACAGAGGCTGGGAGAGGGTCAGTGAGCCGCCGCCCAACCGAGAAGGGGTCAGGGCTGGATTTGAACTCAGACTGTGAGCTTCCATAGCAAACGCCTGTCCCAGAACCCGGGGCTGTCCTGGGGTGCTCGTCCATGTCAGAGATGGGGGTCATTTCTGTCTGGAATTTTGATTTTACTTGATGGAGGCATTTGAAAATTATATTTTTATAGTAGGCAGAGATGAATATGTTTGTGGAATGTGTACGAAGTTTCTAGATAAAACTGTAAACTTGGGCCCTCGGTCTGCATTTTCTCTCTGGATTCTGCCAGATCCATGCTCCCCACCCTGTCATTCCAGATCCTCTGTGTGGGCTCACAGGCTGCGTGACCTTGAGCAAGTTCCCTGACTGCTCTCAGCCTCAGTTTCCTCCTCTGTGAAATGGGGTGATGGGAGCACTTCCAGGGCTTACCCTCCACTAGGGTCCCCAAAGGAGGGATAGAGTTTTCCCTGCTGCTGCATCTTAAGTCCTCAGGTAACAGTCTAGCACAAATAGGTTCTCAACACATATTGGCGGAATGAATAGTTGAATGGAGGCCTGGGGTTTTATGAAGATTAAATAAGAGACACCTTCAAAAAGCACTCAGCACAGGGCCCGGCCCACAGTGGAGTGCCACAAACAGCCACCTCTTCCCTGTTATTTAAGAGGGAGGGAGGTGGGATGCCAAGGGCTGGGGACAGAACTGCACCTGCCTTCACCTCTTCATCCCCCTGGGGACAGGGGCGGCTCCTGTGGGCCGGGAAAAAGGAAAGTAAGGAACTGGGGCCTCGCAGGCCTGGGGATGGGACCACACCTTCTTAAAGGGCCAGGCCAGGAGGGGGCGCTATGATGGCTCCCCCCTTCTTGGTGGCAGGGATGAGGGCAGGGGTCTCTCTCTCTCAAAGGCCTGCCTGGTCCTGCCTGGGACATTTCTCCCATTTGGCCCCACCAACCTTCATCCAAGACCAGTCTCTGAGAGAAGAATACCTTTTCCTGAGTCTCCTCTGGCTGCTGGCGGTAAGGCACAGCATCCATCTACAGGGCTCCTGCTCAGGAGCCCCGAGGTTCTGTGGGGGTCGCCTCTCCAATGCCACGTACGCCTGTTCTTTGTCAAATCTTTGCATGCGTAACTGGCGTCGCCTTTACAGGGACTCTCAACCAGGGGCGTTTTGTCCCCAGGCCCTGGGGACATATTTGACCAACACAAGGGAGTGGATGCTACTGCCATCTACTGGCTGGAGGCCAGGGGTGCCGCTAAACCCCTGAAGGCATAGGACAGGCCAACGACAAAGAATAAACCTAACGCGTCAACAGTGCTGAGGCTGAGGAACCCTGACAAAGGGTCGACTTTGGGCGTGCCCCTCCGCTCTGGGAACCCCATCAACCAGTGGGTTTCAAGGCACTTCACACAGGCTGCCTGTCCTTCCGGGCTGCAGCTGCAACCTCCCCGTCTCCCCAGCCCGCAAGTTGGTCTCAGTCCTATGGAAGGGTCAGGCCTGGGGTTCCCGGAGCTGAGACCAGGGCATCCAGGTTGGGCTGGGGGCAAGGGTCTCACCTGACGCTTGAAGAGCCTCTGGAGCAGCCCTTTCTTTGGCGGTTCCGGAGGGTGGCTTCGGTTCAGGTCCGCTGAGAGGGTACCGTGGGGTCCGAACACGTTCAGCTCCTTAAAGCACTCTGTCTCTATCATCTGGGGAAGCGGTCAAAACACAGGCGGGGCGAGGGGCTGTCCAGGTCATCCCGGGGGGACAGGCAGCCCAGCAGCCCGGCCGTGGGCGGCATGGTCCCGAGCCTGGTCCTGCCAGGCCCTCCACTCGCCTGGGCTGAGACCCTGACAGCCTCCCACCTGTCCACTGCCTCTCCCGGACCGCCTGGCGAGCCGCCCTCACTCAGAAGACAGAAGCCAGGCACAGAGGGTGGGATGGAGGCGCTCATCTTCCAGCCGCCCTCAGCTCCTCCTCCACCCGTGTTCTGGACCATCCCGCTCCAGGGCTGCAGGCCGACCGCCCCATCATTTCTATCTCACGCGAACCAGCTCGGACTGGGCTCCATCCCCCAGTGTGCAGTGGGGGTAATGGGAGCACTTTGTTGGCTCACCCGCCACTAAGATCCCCAAAGGAGGGATGCAGTTTTGCCTGCTGCTGCAGCTTCAGTCCTCAGATAACTGCCCCGACTCCATCATCCCCCTTGGGCCTCCAGCTGCTGCCTGTTTCCCAGCCACGCTTCTCCAGAGTCATCCGGACAGGCCTCCTCTCCCCGCCACGCCAGCACCACGCCACACCCCAGTCTGCCCACCGGGACACCCCCCTCCTCGCCGACCCTTTCTGCCCTCAGAGCAGCCCCGCCCCCACTTTGGGGTGAAGCTGAGGACCCCACCGTGCTCACCTCACTTTGCCATGGGATGGGCACGGAGCCGGTGGAGAACTTGGAGTAGAAGTCGTCGTCCGTGTGGTCCAGGTTGACGCCCTTCACAGTGGAGAACTGCTCGATGTCCAACACGTCCTTGCAGTACACGGCCCGGGGCTGGGGAGGGAGGGATTTGAATGGGGGGGGCAGGGGTGGTCTCCCAGGGCCTCCCCCCTTCCCTGGGAACCTGGCTGCCCTGGCTCAGAGGGACCAAGGGGCCCCCAGTTGGGATGATGAGAACTCAAGCCCCTTCCTGCCATCACTGACCCACAGGCTATGATGGGGAATGTCTCAGGAGGACCACTCTGGCCCTTCCCACATCAGAGGCCAGTCGGGGGGTGGTGGGTCACCATGCAGGCTTGTCTGCCACACACAGACCTGGGCTGAGGTCCCAACTGTGGTGCTTAGGCACTTTGGGAAAGTCATATTAACCCCTGGAGGCCTCAGTTTCCTCACCTGCAAAATGGGGACAATCGAGGCACTGGGCCATGAGGCTATCGTCAGTGCTGCTATGGACCTGATGCTGTAACCCTGGTGATCTCTTTCATCTCACTTGTCCACCAAACATGCTCTGGGGCTGCAGTTCAGGGAATCAGAGAGACAAACCCGGGCCCTGCCCTCTGGGAGTTCAAGGTTGGTGGGGGAGGGCTCCCAGGGGTTCTGGGAGCCTGGGAATCTGGAAATGAAAACTTCACTGAGGTGATGAAGACTCCCCCCAGACTAGGCAATGCTCTACTACTGGCAGATGGGAGCCACCCCCTGGCCACAGGGCTCAGCCCCTGGTCCAGGGCCCTGCACAGATGTTTAGCAAAGTCAAAGGTCGTAAACCAGTGCACGGGCTCAATCCAGGCTGGGGAGCTACTCACATCTGGAATAAAGGGGGGATCCAACATCCCGGCCTCTAAGCGCTTGAAATTCATGTTCCTGAAGAAGGGGTGTCTCTTGACCTCCGCGGCCCCTTCCTCCTGGCAGCCCAGCCTCTGCTTCGCATCTTTGGTGAGCAGCTGCGACAGGAGAGCCCCATGAGGACTTGCCTGGCGGGGGGTGGGGGGGGGGTGGGAGGGGCCTTTCCTCCTGCCCAGAGGCCCAAGGGGCAGAGGGGCTTTGGAGAGTCTGTGATCACCTCCCTTTCACACAAGAATCCCCGAGCCATCCCCAGCCAAGACATCCCTTCTTTCGCATCCACCAGGCCTGGGCCACCCCAGGTTCCCATCAGACACTGCTCTACCCTGATTCAGAGGATCTCCTGAACTGCGGGGTACTTAGTGGTCCCAGGATCCCAGTGTGCTCAGATGCCTGGAACCTTCAGGAGAGCAGGAGTCCTGTCTGATTCTGCCCACGACAGCATGGCCCATGCCTGGTGCGTACCTGGCACCCACTAATGTGTGCTGAACTGGCATCCCCTCTTCTGCTCCAGGTAAGCTACAAAGGGCAAAGACTGGTCTGTGGGCTTTCTCATTCTTTTACTCGATTCCTAGGTACATGGCAGACTCGTACCCAGTAGGTGCGGAGAGACAGGATGCTGAGGGTCTGGCCTCAGCAAAGTCATGTTAAGAGGACGCATCAGGGCAAGGCAGATACAACACCACAGTGGCGGCGGAAATGAGAACTGGCTGCTAGCTGAGGGGTCAGGAGGGAGGTGGTCTGGGGAGGGGGCGTCTGAGACAGGCTTTCAAAGCGGGCAGAAGGCACTGGAGGGACCTGTGACAGTGTGAGCAGGGCGAGCGTGGAGAACACTCATCTTTGAGTCTGAGGGAAGGATGGGGGTGAGAGAGGTGGGTCAGAGTCAAGAGGACCGGCCGGGGAGGAGAGAGGGACGGTCCTGAAGGCCAGGTCTGGGGGTGGGGTTTTAACACAGAGGTGGTGGGGAGCCAAGGATGGAAGCAGGTCCTCGTCACAAACGAAAGGCAGGGTGGAAGGGTACTAGGAGAGGAAGGGGCTGCAGGGACAGACACGCGACCAGACAGGAGGAAGGTGCGAATGAAAGATGGGGAGCGGGGAGGAGGAAGGGGCAGGGAGGGGGAGGGGCGGGGGCGGGGGAGGAGGAAGGGAGGGGGCTGGGAGGGGAAGGGAGGGGAGGGGAGGGGAGGGGAGGGGAGGGCCAGGCCACAGCTGAAGATGAGGCGGGGTCCCAACATGACTGCAGGGTGTCAGCCCCCTCCGCAGCCCCAGGGTCGCTGCCTGCTCTCTCTCCTGCCCGCCACACTGAGCACTCCCCCGAGGACACAGTTGGAATCTAAGTGTCTGCTTCAAGACTGAAATCAAAGTGGGCGGCCGCACCTTGGAGGGAGTCCAGCCCTTTCTTTTACCAGCGTCCTGGTGCCCTCTGCACATGCTCATTATGAGAGGCAGGGGGCCTCCTGGGGTCCACGGTCTGGAGGGGAGACTTGCTGGGACTGCTCCCCTCAAAATTAAGGAGTGAAAGCTGACAGTGGGGTGAGCCTTGAAGAGACGGAGCCACGAGCTAGCTGCTCACAATGTCGCCCGACTCGGTCTACTGATGCCCGCCGCCCCCCCGCCGGCGGGCTTGGCCCCGTGGACTGGTGGCTCGGGGCCACTCCTGTTCTTCTGGGCTCTGCTTGTCTCCGAGAAATCTCTGGGCTGCAGGCCCCAGAGGCTGCAGGGGTTGGCCAGGCAGATGACACAGTGAGGGTAGAAGTTGAGGGCTGGCTGCGTGGGCCATGTCAGGCTGTCCCTCAGCTCCTGCCAGGCAGGAATGTTGGCAGGTGTCCAGGGCTTCTGCTTTTTGCAAAAGAAGCCAGAAAATCCAGGTTTTTATGTGATTTTGCCCCATTTAAAAATCTTGGCAATTAACCCACTATTCACTTTTTTCTAAAACACTGTTCAGCTAAAATAAACACCCACCCATGTGTTGCCTATTTGCAGCCTGGGCATCAGGTCAAGAGTTTACAAATATTATACTAGGTATAAACCAGGAGAAGCAAGAGACAGAAATGGTGTGAGCTAAGGGTGATGGGGCAGGCAGAGAGGGCTTCCTGGAGGAGGATGACTAGAGATGGGCTGGAAGGATGGGTGAGACTGAGAGGGATACAGGGCATGGGGAAGGACCAGTGCTGGGACTCAGCAGGGGCCTAATAAAGGTGGGGGCTGAGGTCTGGGCTTAGGGACTGGACCCAGGAGACAGGACAATGAGAGGCATGCACTCCTGGACCACAAGGGCAGGGAAGGGGGTCTTGTGACTGCCCAGGTGGAATGGGGGCTGCGGACTGACTTTATTGCTGTTTGTAGGAAAGTCTTCCTCAGTAGGCAGGGCTGGGGCGGCCCAGGACCTCCGAGGTCTCCTTACGATCAGACCCTGCTATGTCCTGGGCCTGGTGTCCCTTGGTGGTGACAGGGCAAGCCTGGCTGCCAGACCAGATGGGTTGAGGTTAGGGCATGGAAGAAGTCCTAGATCAGAATTCCAAGACCTCAGGGTCATTTGCAAGGAGGCAGAGCAAGACCAGAGGCCTCCAGAGGTTCTTCTAGCTGAGAAAGACGAGGGGACCTTGCTTTTGACATTTGCACCTGTGAGCCCAGGTCCGCCTGGAGACCCAGGCTCAGCTGCCGCCTTCCCTGGAGTGGCCACCAGGGGGCAGCAGAGGAACGGTAGTGCCCCAGAGCCGATGACTGTGGGCAGGGGGCCCTCTGTGCCTCTGTCCTCCCAGCGGGTCCCCTGTTGCTCTCAGGGTCTCTCAAGAACTGCTTCTCTGAATTCCTGACCTATTTGATGATGCGCTGACTCCGTCCCTCACCCAGTTAGGTCCCCGTGGATAGGTACCTGGTTGCAACATCAACCAAGTGTTGTTGGCTTCCCTTTCGACCCCCCTGGTTTTCAACCATCCCCTAGGGTACCCCACACTTCCATGTACCTGCCTTTTGCTGCCTTGCTCCTCTTGCCCCTCTATCGCAGCTCCGGCTGCCGTGACTACCTGCTTCCTTGGAGGCCGCCCAGCTGCAGCCTGGCCCAGGCATGTGGTAAGGGCATGTGTTTGCTTGTGTACACGCCATGCCTCCCTCACGGTCTCTCACACACGCAAATGACAGACAGATCTATGGTTCCTCTTTGGAAGTGATCAGATGGCAGCTCTGGGCCAAATCCTTCTCCCTGTGCCTCTGTGACGTCAGGCTGAGGCTGGTAAGAGGAAGTGGTCAGGCAGCGGGTGGCCGGCTCCAGGAGGGCGGCCTTCTGGGGGCGGGAACTAGGCCACATGGCTCCGGGGCCCCTAGCAGTGCAGCCTCGGGTTTTCTAGAAGCAGAAACTTCGCTACTTGTCATCAGTTTCCCAGGCTTGCCTTTCCCTGGACTCCGGCCTGGTTGTTGACGTTCAATTTCAGACCCCGAGGGTCAGACCCCTGTCTTGCTGTTCTAGTTGCAGAGCAGAGGAAGGGACGTGGGGGCTCCCAGATGCCAAGCGTTGGGCGCTCAGGCCCTTCCTGTCCCCGCGTGGCTGGTGTTAGAGGGCATCTGCCAGCACAGCAGCCAGAGGGAAGAGGGCCCTGGGGGGCACAGGTGGGACTCGGGAGCCAGAGAGCCTGGCAGGGAAGGAAGCGGGCCCGCCGGAACTGAGGAGAAGGGCCTCGGTCCAGGGGCGGACTCTCTCCAGCTTCACTTTGAGGTCCTGCCACCCCACTTCCTCTATTCAGCTTCCAGGCCCCCAGTCTGGCCCCTGCCCACTAGCCTGGCTAAAGGCCACACCCTGAGTGAGCTCTGTCTGGGGCCGGGTCAAATTCTCTATCCATGGACGCTGTCACTCAGGACTTCAGCAGGTGTGACCAACATTCCATGTAGTGGGTGGAAAACTTGATTAAATGATGTTCGAAGGCCAAGACTATCACCACTCACCGCCTGCAGCCCCTGGCCCCAGAGAAGCACCAGGGATCCAGAGCTGGACGGAACAGGAGGCCCAAGGTCAAGGGTAGGGGCTGTCCTGATGCCTTTGTATCTTGGAGACCAGCTGGGAGCATCCCCTTCCTCCCCCATGCTGACTTCCCCTCAGAGCTGGACATAAGGGTGTCTCCCCTTGCTCACCATAGCCCCCCTCCCTTTCACGGAGCCTCCCTGCCCCACCCCAGGCTCCCTCCTGGAAGTGTCTGTCAACCACCCCAGTTCACAGACCCGGTGGCTTCATCGTCCACACCCTAGCATGCCCTGCCCCTGCTCCCATCTGCCTGTTTGCTGTTCTTGGCTGGGGGCCGGGAGGGGGGCCAGCATTGCACACCGGCCCTGGGGCGATGTCTGGCTCACCAGGAGCTCACCATTTTGCAGATGGACTTGGCCTCCTCGGAGAACTTGTGTGAGTACACCTCCTCCGTCTCCAACACCCGGCGGTCCACCTCCTCCCTCTTCACCTTCTCCTTGCGGCCGCGGAAGGGCGACTGGCCCTCGATCATCTCGTAGATGAGGCAGCCCAGACCCCAGTAGTCAGGGCTCAGGCCGTACCTCTGGTTGTTCAGGACCTCTGGAGCTGAGGGCAGAGCAGGAGATCCAGGGGAGGTGAGAGACAGCTGGTGGTGGGTCAGAGCCAGGCACGTGGGGCCAGGACTGGGATGCTAATGGGGCCTCAGGACATCCTGCAACCAGGAGTGATGGTACTGCTCACAGGAGGCCTGGGGCTCCACAGCTGGGATCCCTTCCCACTGCTGACTCCTGCCGACCAACTGCTAGAAATACCTCCTCTCCCAGGGAGCCTGCCTTGGTTGCTCTTCTCTGCACTCCCAAAGGACTCTGACTGTGGCTTCAGACGCCTGACCATGGTGGATGAAAACAGCCCGTTCCCTTGACATCTCCCCCACTAGACTGTGAGCCACCTCATTCCCTGCTGTTCCTGGTAACAGGTACAATGCCTGGCATACGGTAGGTGTTGCACACATATTCGTTTCAATGAATGAAAGTGTGTCCACCAAAGTAAAGATGATTTTAAATGTATCTGGAATTCCAACAACGTCTCATTATGACTTCCCTAACACTTTGATTAAATGGATTACAGATTCACTAGAGAAGTGCAAGAGAAGATAGGCAGGCCACATACATCCAGGAAGGCAAATGTATCTACATGGGTGCAGACACTGTGCACGAGAAGATGACACAGATGCCCAAGCAGGCACACATAGAGTACACAGATGGATTTATCTATCCATCACTCACCCATCCATCCACCCATCACCCATCCATCCACCCATCACCCATCCACCCATCACCCATCCATCCACCCATCATCCATCCACCCATCACCCATCCATCCACCCATCCACCCATCATCCATCCATCCACCCATCATCCATCCATCCACCCATCGTCCATCCATCCACCCATCATCCATCCATCCACCCATCACACATCCATCCACCCATCATCCATCCATCATCCATCCATCCACCCATCATCCATCCATCCACCCATCATCCATCCACCCATCACCCACCCATCATCCATCCATCCACCCATCACACATCCATCCACCCAGCATCCATCCATCCACCCATCATCCATATATCATCCATCCATCCACCCATCACACATCCATCCACCCATCATCCATCCATCCACCCATCATCCATCCATCATCCATCCATCCACCCATCACACATCCATCCACCCATCATCCATCCATCATCCATCCATCCACCCATCACACATCCATCCACCCATCATCCATCCACCCATCACCCACCCATCATCCATCCATCCACCCATCACACATCCATCCACCCAGCATCCATCCATCCACCCATCATCCATATATCATCCATCCATCCACCCATCACACATCCATCCACCCATCATCCATCCATCCACCCATCATCCATCCACCCATCACCCACCCATCATCCATCCATCCACCCATCGTCCATCCATCCACCCATCCATCCACCCATCATCCATCCATCTACCCATCATCTATCCATCCACCCATCATCCATCCATCCACCCATCACACATCCATCCACCCATCATCCATCCATCATCCATCCATCCATCCATCATCCATCCATCTACCCATCATCCATCCACCCATTACCCATCCATCCACTCATCCATCCATCCATCCACCCATCATCCATCCACCCATCACCCATCTACCCATCACCCATCCATCCACCCATCATCCATCCATCATCCATCCATCCACCCATCATCCATCCACCTATCACCCATCCATCCACCCATCCATCCATCATCCATCCATCCATCACCCATCCATCCATCATCTATCTATCCATCTGTCACCCATCCATCCATCACCCATCCATCCATCATCTTTCCATCACTCACCCATCCATCCATCACCCATCCATCCACCCATCATCCATCCATCCATCTCATCCACCCATCATCCATCCATCCACCCATCATCCATCCATCCATCCATCATCTATCCATCACCCATCCATCCTTCTATCATCTATCTATCCATCCATCATCTATCCATCACTCACCCATCCATCCATCTCCCATCCATCCACCCATCATCCATCCATCCATCCATCATCCATCCATATCACCCATCCATCCATCATCTGTCTATCCATCCATCACCCATCCATCCACCCATCATCCATCCATCCATCCATCATCCATCCATCATCTATCCATCCATCACCCATCCATCCACCCACCCATCATCCATCCATCAATCATCTATCCACCCATCATCCATCCATCCATCATCCATCCAACCATCATCCATCCACCTATCATCTATCTATCCATCCATCACCCATCCATCCATCATCTATCCATCACTCATCCATCCATCCATCACCCATCCATCTACCCATCATCCATCCATCCATCACCCATCCATCACCCATCCATCCATCATCTATCCATCCATTCATCATCTATCCATCCATTTATTAGCCCAGTCATCCATCATATCTATCCATCCATTTATTAGCCCAGTCATCCATCATCCATCCATTATCTATCACCTATCGATCATCTATCCATCCACCCATCCGTAAGCATTCACATAGGTATACATACCTCCTACATACACATAGACGCATACCCCATGGGTCCCCCAACATCATGCAATCTGAAAAGGACCCTCTGACACCAGAGTCCAGAACCCGGAATGTGTGCTGCTGGCATGAGCCCAGAGGAGGACAACAGTGTCCCTGTCCCTTGGAGCTTTCTCGAGTCCCCTGCCTCCTGGGGTGAGCAGGTGGTTGTGTGTGAGGTATACAGGAAGATGCCTGAGGAATATCCCTATTTGGAAGGCAGACCCCAGGGGACCGGTGTAGCTCCAGGGCAACCGTCTCAGAGAAGGCTCAGGGGACACGGGGCAGGAGCCAAGGCTGGTCCCTGCTTAGAACGGGGCTTTGTGACACAATAGGTGGCGTGCTTGTCTCCTTTCTGGGCCCTTCCTAATGACCTCCCCCTCCCCTTCTTGAGGTCACTCTGAAAGGCTGTCTGCCAATTCACCAGACCCCTACTTCACCCACACCCCAGGCAACTGTGTGTGTCAGCTCTGAAACTGCCCTGGGAGGGCTTTGGCTTTGAGACACAGGTGGATCTGGGGGTGGGGGCTGCAGAACTCAGTGTAGTCAAGACACCCTGGGGCCCCAACACTTCCCTGACCCTGGCTGCAACTTCCCGCCTCCCACGTGACTACTTCTGCAAGTTACACAAAGAGGCCAGTGGCTCCAAGGGCCCAGCCCGGAGAGGAGCCATCCTATACTCACCCATGTAGCCGACGGTGCCCACCCGGCCGCGGATCAGGTCTCCCTCGGGGATCTTCACGGCCAGGCCCAGGTCCGAGATCCTGATGTGGCCTGATGGGGGACAGCAAGGTCAGCAGGTCTCTGGGATGACCCTGTGGACATCTGGTCCACCCTGGGCAGGACCCTAGACTTGCCACGGGGCCCTCGCCTTTCATTTGTCCCAAGAAGAGTGGTACCCAGTTGGCCACGCAGGGTGACTGTGGACCATCGCAAGAGTCAGGTGTCACAGGTCAGGGGTAAATTATTACTTTTAGGGAGAAAAACATAAAGATGCAATAGGACCCCTGCATTCGGCTGGAAGATGGCGGACAGTCTCATAAAATGCCCTAAGGGGCTTCTTGGGAGGCTAACATCACAAAGTTTAAGATGCCTTGGCCCGATTCTGGGATTGCTTCATGGGAAAATGTGAGATTCTTCTGACATTTTGCAACAATTTGCTTAAGGGGAAAAATCACAAAGCAACTTGGGAAGCAACTCCCTGTTCTGCCTTGTTGGTCTTTGGAGTTGCTTGTTTTTTTCCTTTTGGAGAACCTGCCGCCCAGACCAGCAGAGACTGGGAGGTGGCATTGGAGCTCCCAGGCCAGAACTGACCCCCAAGAGCCAGAGACGACCCCGTGCTGAGAGTGTGCCTTGGCACTGTCTCTTCCAGCAGCCCACTTGGAAGGGTCATGGCCTCATCTGACCCTGCAGGAAGGAACACTGACCCCCCTCCCCAGACTGGACTTCAACGAGGACCAAAGCAGGGAGCCACCCCAAGAGGCTGGAGCTGAGTGAAGCCCACTGGCTCGGTGGCCCTGATGAAGGCAGGAGTGGTGCTAGGGGAGAGAGCATGCAGATTCAAGACGTCGGATGATAGATTGGTGGTAGGCACGGTTCTGAGTTCCCTGGGGGCTCTGGGCGCATACACAGAGGGGCAGTGGGCCCTGAGCCCTCTGCCCAACAGCATCCCACTCAAACCTCTTCTCCAGGTCTTCTCCCTCCCCTTCCTTCCCCTTGGCCTGGGACTTGCTGGCAGGGAGACCTACTTTCAGGTTTCCACTCCCCACTGATTTTTGTGGGTGGCCTTGGTGAGTAGGCTCCTCTGAGCCTCAATCTTATCATCTGTAAAATGGGCACAGGGTCAACTGGCCCTGCTCCCTCTGTAAAGATGGGACAATTTAGTTAGATAGAAGATGTGACAACCCTTTCCCAGGTGTGAGAGTCGAAACAGTCATGAGGGGCTCCTGTGGTGGCTTTGTTATCCATGTGTGTGTGCACAAACACACATGAAAATAACAATGATGACAGACAAATAATAATACCTAACATGTTATGGCTGGCTTCCCTGGTGGCTCAGATGGTAAAGAGGCCAGCTTCAATGCAGGAGACCCGGGTTCAATCCCCGGGTCAGGAAGATCCCTTGGAGAAGGAAATGGCAGCCCACTCCAGTAGTCTTGCCTGGAGAATCCCACGGACAGAGGAGGTTGGTGGGCTACAGTCCATGGGGTCGCAAAGAGTCGACAGGACTGAGCGACTAAGCACGCACACACAGTTGATGAAACAACTTATCAAGGTATCTCGTCAGAACCTCAGCACCATCCTCCACCATCTGAAGAAGGCAGGCCAAGGCCCATGTTTCCATTTCACAGACTAGAAAGATGGGGTGAGGGAAGTTGTGTGAGAGCTAAATGTTTGCCCAGAGTCTCTGGAACCCCCGACTCCTCACTCAGTGCTGGCTCCCTTTCTCTCCCTCTCCTCCACCAGCTGAGCCACATCCTTCTTCGCCAAGTAGGAGCTGTGTCCACACCCTCTGCCCTCCCGAGGACCCAGGGTCAGCATCTCTGAGTCTCTGTTGGAAGCCTCCCGCTCAATTTGGCTTGTGACGCTCAGCTACAGAGCTGGGAACGGATCCCTGGGTCCGCTGCCTGACTTACCGTAATCGTCTAACAGGATATTTTCAGGTTTCAAATCTCTGAAAGGGAAAGATCAGCAGCATGTGAGTGTGAGTGTTCTGGGTGGCAAGGGCACATCAGCATCTGTTGTGGACCCCCTTGAGCTACTCAGGCCTGAGTGGTCTCTCCCCAACTCTGGGCTCAGGAGGTCTGGTCTCTCTCTGGGTCAAGACCATCTTGGGCTCACTTCTCTCCCCCTGGTATTAATTTAAAACAAATGCTGCTGTTTGCCATAGGTATCCTCAAGACTCTGGAGAGTGACTGAAGAGGTTAGGCAAAGGCTAGTCCATGCACTAAGGGTCCCCGGGGCTGGGAGGTGACAGACCCCTCCAGGGATGGGAAGACCTCGAGGTCTCTGGATGCCCTGAAGGCAAGAGCCAGGCCTGGGAATGAAGGGAGAGCAGTTACTGAGGACAAATACCCTCACTGGAGAACTGGGTCAGAGAATTGTAAGGGAGAGAATGGTAACCTCCAGGACAAAGACCCCCTTTGGGATGGGGTCCCCAGGAGCCTGGCACTTTCCCCAGCTCCAGCTGAGCCACAGCCTGGGAGAAAGCACAGTCATCAGGCACAGCTCTAGATGCAACCACCTCCTCCAGTCCCCAAGGTCTCTCTTCTCTTTACAAGACACGGTCATGCTCATGAGAAAGAGAACCTTTCCACTGTAACGGGGAGAGGCAGCAGAAGTGTCTGGTTTTATTAATAAAAGCTCTTCTCCGTGAATTAAAGAATAACCAAAGGACACCCTAGTGTGCAACTCGGGTAAGCCATTGCACAGATGCCACAGATGGCATCTGGATTGAAGATTTGGTTCTCAACCAATTGGCTTTGTTCATTAAACTGAGGGCAGCTGTCCTCATGGGGAGAGGTTCATGTGCCCACATCCAGTGATGCAAGCTCACAAAGTGATAATTGGGGTCTGTATGTGGTTACTTATTACAACATACTTTTGTTGCCATTGTTATTAATTTCCATGCTTTTGGTGTGCTAACCACTCCAAATAAGGGCAGGAGACCTCATTTCAATTAATTGGCCACCACCGACCACCAGTTGGAAAGACAGCTGGCTAGTGGGCACAGAACCCACACCCACAGAGAGGCTATGGCCAGTGGTCGGGCCAGGGAGGCACCGTGGTTCTCTTCCTTCCTAGTATTAATAGAAAGGCTAGAACTTGGAGGGATGCCTTTTTCTTTTTTTTTTTTTTAAGAGAAAAACAATCAAAAGGAGGATTCTTTTTTCAACCCTCAGGGAAAATTTTCTGACTCTCTTCTCACTTGAATGAAAACAAAACAAAAGCATAAATTGGGAGATGTGGGGGGTGGGGGGAGGGCATGTTATCAAGACCATTCCTCCTTATTTTCAAAGCCTTGGGCTCCCAAGATATTCTTAGCCAACAGCCCTGTGACAAAAGTCTTCAAACTGGGGTGTGTGTGCCCAGTGGGGGTGGGGGATGAGAGTCACCCATGCGCTGGGACTTCAAGAATATGCATTTCTAGATCCTTAGCATCATAATGCCTTGTCCTGGCATCTTATAGGATCTCCCCACCCACCCGTCCTTTCTCAATAGCTCTTCTCCCAACTGACAGAAGAAAAGCAGGTTCCTCCCTACTCCTGCATATTGCTATGGTGCCCAGCTCCACGGGGTGAAACTTCCAGGGTCCCAATTAGAAGTGGGACCTACTAATCATAATTATAAGGGCAATTCAACAGAAGAAATTATTTTAACACTTAGAGCCTTATGGTCAGTGAGAATTTTTAAAATATCTTATCTATATCCATATATTTCACAGTGGAATGCTGATCATTGACTTTTATGCAAAAAATACATTACAGTAAAGTAACAGTCTCTGGGGGCTGAAGTAGAGAAGGATAGAAAATTCCTCACCGTTAAAGAGTTTTCATGCATTTTTTTCTAGATGCATGATGGTGGAAGTCAATTTGCTACAGCAATTAGATTCCACTGGATACCTTTAGATAGTGATATCATGAGTTCAATTTAAAAATATTAGCCACTATTTTAACATCAATGGGCTATTTTAGGTGTCTGCTTAGAACATATAAGGGCACAGAGATTTTCAAAATTCTTGGAGGAGGGCTGCAAGAAGAGTCTGAAGGCCACTGCTCACAGAATCTGGACACCTGGTCCTGGGATGGGAGAGACCGGGGTTCATTCTGATGCCTGCTTCAGTGGGGGTCCTACAGCAGTCCTGCAAGGGTTGGTTCTGGATCAGACTACCAGGCTCCACTGAGCTTCCTGGGCACTGGGTGGGAAGGGACCAGTGGCCCAACCTCATCAACTTTGAGGGAAGACCTGGCCCCCGCTAAGTGATCCCCCTCCCTTTCTCGGTTCCAGGGTGGGAGTCTGTCTGACTCAAGGGCAATGACCCAGCCTCAACGCGAGGGCAAGGATGAGCGGCCAATTCAGAGAATGGAAGGGCTGGCCTCACTCACTCAGGCTCAGATGGGGGGACCCGGGGTTGCCTGCTCACCTGTAGACAATGTTCTCATGGTGGAGGTCTTCCAGACCACACAGGATCTCTGCTGCGTAGAACAGGGCGCGCTCCTCCTCGAAGCCAGGGTTCCCCATGTTGTAGATGTGGAACTTCAGGTCCCCACCATTCATGATGGTCAGGACCAAACACAGTGCATCCTTGGTCTCGTAGGCGTAGGCCAGGTTGACCTGGGAGCAGAAGACAGCCATGTGGTGGGGTTCCAGGGACCCCCACATCTGCTCCTCTTCCCCAAGGGTCCTTGAAGCTGGGTGGGAGGACTAGGGTGGGGAGCTGCAGCCGCTTCACACCAGCCACTGCACCCCATTGCTGCCTCTCCATCCAATTTGGAGGTTCCAGGCAAGGAAGCAGAGTCAGAAGGGGCAGCTGGCACCTTTCACGGGTCCCGACAGGACGGGGTCTGTTGCTTTCATGTCACAAAATCATGTGCGTTCATCAGGTGGTTGGAACTTCTGTCCTTTTTGGGCATCCCTTTACAAAACCCGCCAGCTCTGGGGAATGCAGGCAGCCTGGGTGGATGGTGCCGCGTGCCATCAGGCACAACTGGTGGGGATGTAACTGGGGGAAATGCACATGCTCTCTGACAGAGTGATTCCTCCGCCAGGAATTCATCTCCCAGACATCCCCACAGAAATATGCCAAAGGGATGCTGAAGGACGGATGGACCCGGGTCAGCCTTGTCTGTTGTGGTGCCTTCAAAACCAGAAGCGATTTCTCCCTGTGGCTGCACAGGTCACCCCGGGGGGGGGGGTGCTCTGCTTCACTTCCGGTCACCTGGAGGCGGGGCTGTCCCCAGGCCCTGACACTCACCACAAACCGACTGTTGACCTTCTCCAGAATCTGCTTCTCATTCAGGGCCATGGACTCCCCTTTCCTCTTTTTGATCCTCTTCTTCTCCAAACGTTTGCAGGCGTACATTTTACCTGTGGCCCGAACCTGGCAGGCACAGACCTGAGGGGCAAGAGAGAAGACAAGGGCACATGGCACATGAGTTCTGAGGCTCCCTCCAGGCCAGGATGCGGTGTCTCCAGGGCTGGGAACCACGGTGGCCAAAGCCAGCTGTGCCCTGGCCTGTGGGTATCCCATCCTCAGGACTCAGCAAGGCCTGGCCAAGATCTGGGTCTGGTGCTATCTCAGGTGAACCCAAGCCCTTGGAGACGGAGAAGCAGCAATTTATACCAGTTTAGGTGGCTGGCCAAGGCCGAAAGAACTGTTCCTCTCTCGGGGGACAACTAGATTTTCTCTGTCCCAAGCTTCTAACCAGATGCAGCTGCTAATAACTGGGGACTCTGAAGCACCAGCTGCTGGTAGGAGAGGCTTATTTCGGGAGGGGGGGAAGTCATGGGAGACCCCTGGGAACTCTGACGGTATAATTTAGAGGAATGAGACCCAGGGCATTTGGATCTGGTCTTAGTTCTGCCCCTATTCATCTGTGTGACCTTGCCTGGGTTACCTAACCATTCTGAACGTCAGTTTGCCTCATCTCTAAAACGGGAATGACAAGGTTGGGGAAGATCAGGTTAAGTACAATGGTGCATATTAACAGCATGGCTGGGCCATACTTAGGCCCCTCATGTCCTCACTTCACCCTCCAAACACAATCAAGGACACACATTTCCCTCTGTAGACTTGAACCCTGCCTGAGGCTGGCTCCAAGAGCATCTTCATCCAGACACCCTCCTTCCCTTCCTCAGACACCGGTGACCTTCCCAAGGCCCCAGCCTCACCGCCTTCTCCACCAGGGGGCGCGTGACCCAGCCATTTGCTCAGAAGCCCTGCTTCGGACACTTTTCAGGCCAATCCGGAAGGGGCAGAAAAAGGTGTCAAGAGTTCAGAAACTTTTCATGAATATGTGGATGTTCACTCACCTCCCCAAAGCCCCCTTTTCCTAGTACTCGGTACTGCCTGAAAGTGTTTTTGGTTACCGGTTGCCTGGAAGAAAAGCAAAAATCCACCATGGGTGTCACGGCATTAAGATGCAGAATTAAGAAGAAAAAGACAAGGGCAGCATTGAGAGGAGCTGAGAGGAGCTGAGCGGGGCAAGGCACACACCTCCACCCCCCGCCCTGGGGACCCCCAGGAGCCACCGCTGCAGACGCGACCCTCGAGCACTGGCTCGAGGCTGGGCGCCCTCGGCCCTGGACTGGAAGGGAAGAGCAGGAGGCTTGAAAAGTGTGAGCAGAGGCTGCCTCACTGCACTTTCCCTGTGGTTCCCCTCTCTCTCCCAAATGCAAATCCTGCGGCTGCACTCAGAAGGAAGCTGTGTCCTCGGTGCAGGGAGAAGAGAGAGGCCCAGGAGTCAGGCTCGGTGTCCCACGGAGGCCAGGAAGGAAACCGCAGCCCTCCGTCCACACCTGCCTGGCGGAACAGCTTGCGCCTCCTGTCCCCAGGCGCCCGAGCTGTTCCTTCCTGCAGACGTGCCCTGGGAAGATGGGCCTCCTGGGAACAGAGAGACTGCTGGTCCCCACGTCCAGGCTAGTTACTCTCTCACCAAGGACCGAGGGCATTGGACTCCCCTGAACCCCAGGACAGGAGGAGATCCTTTCTGCCAAAAGGTGTGTGTGTGTGTGCATGCTCTGTCGCTTCAGTCGTGTTCGACTCTTTGCGACCCTACGATTGCACCCTGGACAGGCTTCCCTGTCCATGGGCTTTCCCAGGCAAGAACACTGCAATGGGTTGTCATTCCCTTCTCCAGGGGAACTTCTCGACCCTGAGATTGAACCTGCAACTGTTACGTCTCCTTCTTTGGCAGGTGGGTTCTTTACCACTAGCGCCACTGATATTTATTACTAATCACCTTATGTCTCTCAATTCCCCATTTTAATTAGCCAAAGCCATTTATAATGTCTAATGAGACAAACCTCTGATCTCGTGGGGCAAAGGTGGGGCTCATGGAGTAAATAAAGAAAGAAATTGCCACTTAGTTGCAGCAAAGGCCTCCACCTTGTAGATAGCGTGTGTTTTCTCATTGCTGGCCTGTTTGGCTAAGAAGAGTCAGGTTTTCCCCCCCTCTTTTTTTGGCTTTAATGAGGTATAATTGACAAAGAGTATACAACTTGATGTTTTGATATATGTATACATTGTGAAATGATCATCCAGTCAAGCTAATTAACATCCTATCACCTCCCCAAATTAGCATCCCCCCACCCCTGCTCCCTTCTTTCCTTCCTTTCTTCCAAGGACACTTAAGATCCACCCTCTTAGCAAATTTTCAGTAAATGATAAGTACTGTTAACTCTTGTCCCCATGTTGTTTGTGAGATCCTTAGAACTGACTCATCTTGCATAACTTCAACCTTGTACCCTGGGCCAATATCTCCCATTTCTCCCATCCCCTCCCTGCCCCTGGCGACCACCACTCTACTCTCTGCTTCTATGAGTCTAATTGGATTCCACATATAACTAAGATCACCTAGTACTTGTTTTTCTGTGTCTGGTTTATTTCACTTAGCATAATGTCCTCTAGGTCCGTCCATGTTGTCATAAATGACAGGACTTCCTTCTTTTTTTTTTTTTAAGGCTGAGTAATACTTCATTGTATATTTTACTCTCATGGTCATTGCAGCATTATTCACAATAGCCAAGATATGCAAACAACTGAAAAAGCCATCAATTGATTAATGGGTAAGAAGAAGCAACAGCTTTTACAATATTAAAATTGGCTCTTGACTCTCGAGGGCTATCTTTGAGCATCCCCAAACCACCCCAAGGATCTTCACCAGGGTGGGGATTGGCATGAGATTGGAGTGGGCCAAAGAACTGGATCAGCTCGAGAAAGACCAGTGAATCCCTGGTCACCCAGTGGCTCTTGAATGAATCTCCCATGGAAACTCTTCTCGCTGCTGGGTCCTGAAGAGGATTTGGGTTTCAGTGGAAATCATAGCTTTGCACCATGCTATTCTCTTAGGCGCTATTCTTCTGGACGCTTCCTGGCCTGTCTGGAATTCATGTGTGTGATTCACTGCCTCTTCCCTGGTGTTTCTTTAGGAAGCGGGGTCCAGGCTGCCCCTGTGCCGGACTCCCCCTTGCTCTGCGTCTTGCACACGCGCAGCCTGGCCTAGAGCAAACCTGCCATGCGCCTGCATCCAACATGCGGCCCTGGGAAGCGTTTCCTCCAGCTGCCCTCGAAACCACATGAAGGCGTCCGGGCCTAACAGTTTACGATACATGGAGAACAAACAGTCGGTCGACATTACCGCAGAGCTCCTCTGCTGGGGGAAATGAGTGTAATACAATTTCCGAGGAATTTCTTGGTTAACCTTGGGAGGGAAAAAAATCCCTTTAATATTTCAACAGTACAGCACCAACAGGCCATGATCTTGTTAGCAAGAAAAAAGGCAGAGGGGGGAAGCGGGGATGCTGTCAGTCATTTAGGGCATTTCTAGGCCAGGGTCCTGCTTTCTGGCTTCAACAGCTTAATGGCCTCAAAAGGGCATAACTCTTTTGAGGTCAACACACCAATTTTAAAAGTCCATTTCTCTATTTCATGTGTTTGGTCCTGACAAGTAAAGTGAAAGCCAGGGGCCGCAGCTAAAGGCTTCCTTTGGAACAGGATGCTGGGTAAACTAAGGGTGAAGGACTTGAGCCAGGGACCTGGGCTTCAGATTCCAGCCTTGCCAGGCCATTGTTATGTGACCCAGGGCTAACCCATCAACCTCTCTGAGCCTTGGATCTTCAGTAAAATGGAGAGGTTGAAAACATATATATATATGGCTTCTCTGGTGGCTCAGAGGTTAAAGCATCTGCCTGCAATGTGGGAGACCTGGGTTTGATCCCTGGGTCGGGAAGATCCCCTGGAGAAGGAAATGGCAACCCACTCTAGTATTCTTGCCTGGAGAATCCCGTGGACGGAGGAGCCTGGTGGGCTACAGTCCATGGGGTCGCAAAGAGTCAGACACGACCGAGGGTGTCATCACGCTCAACCTCTCTGAGCCTTGCATCTTCAGTAAAATGGAGAGGTTGGAAAGGTGTATATATATATATGTATCTCCAAAGGTTCTCTGTAAGCCTCTGAGTGTCGTATGTCATCATTAGCACTCTAGGGATAAAGGACGTGGCCCCTTCTGAGGGTCTCTATGGTAACAATCCCCATTGCTCGAAGCAGCTTGTCCACGGACACAGGTAATCCTGAGAATCTGCAGTCATCTGGCAGATGGGCACGCTTAGGCTTTGAGAGGTGAAATGAGATGCCCACGGTCTCGGCTGGTAAGCGGTGCAGTTGGAACTGGGGTCCAGACAGTCTGCTTTGGAGACCAGGTTCAGCGTCCTGACCTCATGCCACCACCCCGGGAAGGCGGGCACAGATCGGGGTTGTGTAACACAGCCCAGGGCTCCAGACTGTGGGGCAAAGTGGGGCAAGATGAGTATCTCCCCACCAGACAGCGCTCCACAAGGGTCAGCTGCTCCCTCCAAGACATTAGACAGCTGTGGTGAGGGCTGAGCCAAAGGGCTCGGTGATGACACATGACAACAATGACATTCAGCGGCTTACCTCCCAAGGAGGCCAGCCTTGTTGAGCTGTGCTCTCATCGCATCCTCACCACGCCCATGAGGCAGGCACTGCTATTATCCCCACATCACAGGTGAGGAATCCGAGGGGTGGAGAGGGGAGCAGCCCTCCCCTGGCCCCCCAGGAGGAGGCCGAGCTGGGACTCAGATCAGGCTGTGGGCTCCTGGTGGCCCACGCGTGGCTCCTGGAGCCATGGCGTGCACGGGCAAGGTGGCCAGAGGCGGGCCACGTGTCAACAGAGAAGCCCGTCCGCTGCTCCCTCTGTCCCCCCATCGGTCAGGATGGAGACAAACGTCCCCCAGGGTGTAGGGCAGGGTGTATCCTCAGATCTCCCTGAAGAGGGCAGGGAGGGCAGCGAGTGCAGCTTTTTGGGGGTTCGTGTCCCCCAGGTTCGCATCCTAGGCGTCTGCAGGGGACTCAGCACAGATCCAAAACACGTGCAGGAGCAGGAGGGCTCCTGGCTTTCTGCCCACAGTGTATACGTATGGCAGCGTGTGCCAGGCCCTCCGGGCACAGGAACCGTGGTGGTGGGAGGGGGAGCTCCCATCCTCGCCTACCAGCTCACCCCCCTGGCTTTATTTTTTATTTATTTGCTTCCCTGGTGGCTCAGATGGTAGAGAATTTGCCTGCAATGCAGGAGACCCGGGTTCGATCCGTGGGTGGGGAAGACCCCCTGGAGAAAGGAATGGCAGCCCGCTCCAGTATTCTTGCCAGGAGAATCCACGGACAGAGGGGCCTGGTGGGCTACTGTCATGGGGTTGCAAAGAGCTGGACACGACTAAGCAAACTAATAGTTGATTTACAACGTTGTGTTTATTTATTTAATTGTTTTTTATTTTTGGCTACACCCTGTGGCATGTGGGATCTGAGTTCTCTGACCAGGCTTCAGACCCACATCCCCTGCGTGGGAAGGCAGAGTCTTAACCACTGGACCACCAGGGAAGTCCCCACAGTATGTCTTTAATGCAAACATTGCCCTGATCTGCAAATCCTGGGATGCTGTAGTGGGCAGAGCACCACTCGGGGGTCCTGGGCCAGGGTCCCCCCTTGGCTGCACTAACCCCTCTTGGGTGACCCAGCAAGCCACATACTCATGGCCTCTCCTTTCTCATCAGTCACACAGAGGCCACTTCTGCCTGACCAAGTCACTGCTGTGTGTGCAGGAGCACTTTGAAGAGAATCAGTTCAGTTCAGTCGCTCAGTCGTGTCCGACTCTTTGCGACCCCATGGACTGTGGCACACCAGGCTCTCCTTGTTCATCACCAACTCCCAGAGTTTGCTCAAACTCATGTCTATCGAGTCGGTGATGCCATCCAACTGTCTCATCCTCTGTTGTCCCCTTCTCCTCCCACCGTCAATCTTTCCCAGCATCAGGGTCTTTTCCAGTGAGTTAGTTCTTTGCATCAGGTGGCCAAAATATTGGACTTTCAGCTTCAGCATCAGTCCTTCCAATGAATAATCAGGACTGATTTCCTTTAGGATGGACTGGTTGGATCTCCTTGCTGTTAAAGGGACTCTCAAGAGTCTTCTCCAACACCACAGTTCAAAAGCATAAGGTGGCAAATAAAAGACGTGAAAAGATGCTCAGTCTCAGCCACGATTAGAGATGAAAAGGTAAACAAGAGGGAAACCTGGCTCTCACAGCCCAAGAACAGTGTGGCTGAAGCTGAGGCCAAGCACACACCCGGGGCACTGTGGGACTAGGAAGTGGGCAGCAGTTGGGGAGGGAGATCTAGCTGCCCCTCACAGCTGAAAACCCTGCCCCTGGAGTTCCTCTGCTAGGAATATCCATGAGGTATCTCTGAAAGTACATACAGATGTATGGCCAGGGACTTCCCCGGTGGTCTGGTGGCTAAGACTCCGTGCTCCCAATGCAGGGGCCCGGGTTTGATCCCTGGTCAGGGAACTAGGTCCCATAAGCTGCAACTGAAGATCCTGAGGGCCACATCTAAGATCCAGCACAGCCAAATTAATAATATTTTAAAAAGGATTTATGGACAAAGTTATTCACTATTTAGGGAAGGTTGCACACAAAAGGAGAGTAATCTCCAATGTTCATCAGTAGGCGGGAGGGTTACATGAGAAATGTGCACATCTATGTAAGAATATATGCGTGCATGCTAAGTCACCTCTGACTCTGTGTGACCTCATGGACTGTAGCCCAAGGCTCCTGTGTCCATGGGATTCTCCAGGCTAGAACACTGGAGTGGGTTGCCACGTCCTCCTCCAGGGGATCTTCCCGACCCAGGGATCGAACCTGAGTCTCTTATGTCTTTTGCATTGGCGGGCGGGTTCTTTACCACTAGCGCCACCTGGGAAGCCCCAGTGTAAGAATATGGCAGGCCTTTATGTTGGCAGAGAAAGACTTCCCAAAGACAGTGAACCAAAAAAATAAGCACAGAATGCTGAGTATATGTGTGAATGAGTGTGTGTGTGTTTTGTGCACAATAATAAGCATACAGCATTTCTAGAATACTCAAGAAATTAACAGGAAAAGAATGCTCCATTTTATTTGAGCCATGGACCCATGGGAGGTAACTGATTTCTATATAACTTGTCACAGGAAAAACTCACATCCCCACCCTGCCGACACACACACTTGTATACACTTGTGCGTGGGGTGTGTCACCCCGGAAGCACTCACCTTTCCAACCACTTCCACTGGAGAAAGCGATCAAAATACATGCTGTCCAGGTACTCGTGGAAGGGTTCTCCCCTCAGGTAGTCGTGGACAGACCTAGCTCGGAGGGGACAAACGGATGAACACTTCACCATCCTGACTCTGCAGCAGGTGGGCAGGGGCATAGCAGCAGGTCACCACCCGGCCTCCTGCACCTCCAGACTTTGGAAATGCAGGCACACAGGGCCTCCAACAGACGCAGAGGGAGGGGAGCCAGGCCCTGGTCATTTCCAAAGCTTGTCTGAGACTGACTGACTGACCCGCACACGTGTAGTCAGTACTTGCCCTGGGCACTGCTTGGGTTCCGGGACATGGCAGTGAGCAGCCGTGGCATCGTGAGGGGGACAGACCACGAATAAATAAATGACCCCAAGGGCATGTTATCATGAGTTAACAGGAAGTGAGGCCCCTGGGGGGTCCGGGAGATCTCTCTGAAGGAGGGACAGGAGCTGAGATGAAAACTGAGCAATGTCTAACTATGCTCGGAGGAGGGACTGGGACTCTGAGGCAGAGGGTGTCTTGGCAAGAGGCCAAGGGGCACAGGCTCTGGATTTGGTCAGGACCGGTGAAGCCACCTGCAGTAGAATTTACTGGGCACCTGTTGTGGGCCAGGTCCCAGGCCAGGCCCTGGAGGGTTCTGAACTTGGCTGCAGGCAGGGCTGGGCTTGGTTCCCTTTAAAAAGCAGCCACACTGACCAGTCAAGCCCAGGCGCTTGGGACCTGGGGAAGGGAGGGGACACTCAGAGTGAGAGAACCTTGGAGACTGTGTCCAGCCAAACCTGAGAACAGGGGCCTGCGTGGGGGGCCAGGATGGCCACTCCCTCAAGGTCAGGGGGGCAGCCCACGACACCCCCCCCACCCGCTGTCAGGGCTGACCCTCAGCCACCTCCAAGCCCGGATTCTGCCCACAGTGGTCTCTCCCCAGCACCTGCCACAGGGCTGGGCCTCAAGCTGACCCTCCCCAGAACATCCTAGCTCTTCCCACAGTGCATGGAGCGTCGGCAAGAAGCCGGGAAAGCAGGACTGCATTCTTGCCCTCAAGGTCTCCCTTGAGTGACATGCACACAGCAGGTGCCCAATTAATGTCTGGGCTGCCAAGTCTGAACGAGGGTGCCCTCACGCCTGCTGTGATCTTGGCGGGTAAGTCTGTTTGTGCCCCTGGCTGTCAGTTTACGGGGAGGGCGCGTGTAGACACAGGAACGGGTGTCAGCCCAGCACCTACATGTAGCTTCGCAGCACATCCTTGCGAGATGATGGAGCCTAATTGGTGCTCGGCTGGCACCACACCCACTGACGCGTCTCGTGTCACACTGAAGCCTGAGATGAACTGGTGGGGTGTGGCTGGGGGCAGCCTGCAGCCCCGCTCCGGCAGCAGTGAAGGGGGGTGGCAGCGGTGGTGGGGGGGGCGGGTGGGATGGGCAGGAAAGGTTTCCAAACCAGCCAGACTGGGGCAGAGCTTTACACGTGCCTCCGTCTCAGCGGCCTGGGAGCTCGTTGGTTTCAACATCATCCGAAGCACATGTTTCTCTGCAGTTGGCACCCTGGGCTCTTTTCCCTTCACACACGGGCCACTGGGGGGCTTGGTGGGGGCCCTCGGGCACTGAAGACCTGCCCCCGGGTGCCCAGCGCTCCAAGGGGTGGTGTTGAGAGGCAGCCCCCTTTCCAGGTGGCTGGGTGGAGACCTGCAAGGAGGCTGAGGGTCCTGACCCCCGGACAGAGGAGGGGAGGCCAAGACTCAGAGCACTTACTGCACGCAGGCCGAGAAGAGTTCTTTGCAGGGTTTCTGAAGGAGCTTCTCCTCCGTCTGGGAGACCAGGTCCCGTCCAACTTGGGTGATGAAAACTGGGGACTGGGGGCAGGAAGAGAAGAGGAGGCATCAGTGAGGCAGGGGGCAGGGGGCCGGGCTGCCACGGGGGCCCCTCCCACCTGCACCTGGGAGGTGGCGGCGATGGAAGGTGGTGACCAACTGGCCAGCGCTCCGGGTCAGATTTCTGGTTCTGCCGCTGACAGTGTGGCAACCTCGTAAGGCCACCCTGCTCCTCGGAGCCCCACTGTCCTCCTCTGCGAACACAGATTGTGACATCCCGTGTCCCGGGCTGTGGTCGGAACTGAGGGCGGGGTGTGAGCACTCACAGTGAAGGGATCCCCCCAAGAGCTGCCCCCGTCCCTAGTCACTGGGGGGCTGTGTCCTTGGAGGGTGGGTGTCAGAGGGTCTGGAGCAGGAGAAGGGGTGGCTCTGCACCCGGGGGAGCAGAGGAAGGCTGTGACACAGGTCTGGCTTGGGTTTGCCAGGTCTGCATCCCACTCCCACATGGCTTGCTCCGGACATGGCCTCGTTGTTACCAGGAGGACAGTCAGAAATAACCGTTTCTCCAGGAACCAGTCAATGAAGCCATAAGAGGTGGATGCTACTACTATGATGCTCATTTCATAGATGAGGAAACTAAGGTTCGGAAAGGTTAAGACCTTTGCCCAAGGTCACCAGCAAGCAGCAGAGACAGGATTTATACCAGGCTGGGCAGGTCTAGAGTTAAGCTGGTTGGACGTGGTGGGGTGTCTAAACCACCTGTGTGTGCTCCCCTCATTCACTGCCGTCTCCCAGGAGGCCCCTGAGATGTGACCTTAGCTGTGGGCTGACTTGGAACTTATATAGAGGATGCTACAGCTCAGGGTGGTGAGCCGCTGGTCTCGGGGGGGTGGGGGGGTGTTATTGCAGAGGGTGAGGGGTCAGCTGGGAAAGCTTCTGAGGAGGGGGTCAGAGGCAAAGCAGAATGTGGCCTCAGACCTCCCACCCCTCCTGGGCCTTCCCGCCCGGGCCCTCCCCACTCCTGAGCAGACAGGAGGGGCTTCCGGGGGTCTGGGGGTGGCTCAGCTGTGCGTGAAGTCACAGCACCGTCATTCCTTGGAACCTGCTGGCAGGAGAGTTCTGGGGGCGCTGCCTACACTCCAAGCCCCGCGGGGAGTTAATAGCTGGTGATGACGCGTTTGGTTTAACGACCACGGGTTTAAATTCAGTCTTTGGCTCGGTGACGTGAAGAGACGAAGCGATTCCAACCAAACCCCCTCTCGAGTGACTCTGGGGAACGACACCTTCTGCCAGTAGGAAGGGAATAAGAAGCTGTCGGCAGCTTTAAGCTGGAAACGTAAAAAGCCAAACCTGCTGGGAGGGTGAGCCGTGCCACTGCTCAAAGAGGCGTTTGCTGTTCTAGTCATATCAGGGGAATCTGAGGGTGTTGGTCCTTCCCCCCGACTGAGAAGGCTCTCCCCAGCCCACAGGCCAGGTCTGATGCGTCACATAAGAAAAAGGGCCCTGTGGTCCCGGTGACCACAGTCTGTCCTCTGTGGCTTGAAGGCGGGAGAATTCCACACGGTTTCAGATCTCTTTCCAGGAAGCTAAGCCCTGCTGGTCCCAGGAGGCCTGTGAGGTGGGCTGGAGAAGGGAGGGGTGTTTCCTCCTGGCCAGGTGGGCTCTGGAGAGGAATGGCCCCCTCACTGCCCTGAAGGCTCAGGAAGGCCATGTGAGCTCTGGCAGGCAGGGCTGGGGCTCTCTCCAGGGGGACTGCCCCTCTGGGATGGAGCCGAGGGTCAGGATGGAGTGGGAAGGACTGGGGTCACTCTCCTCCATGTCACAGATATTCCCTTCATTTCTAACCAAACAGAAAAGACCGCGAGGCCCTCGGATATTCATAGGGCTGAAAGCAGCCTGGAGAAGAGGTGTTGGTAGAGGTCGCTGGTAAAATTCTCCCTGGGGCCTGGGACCCCCTCGGGCCACCAGTGTTAGAAATGACACTTTATTTCTCCGGTCACCAGGTGGTCTCCTCAAGGGGTCCCAGCCTGCAGGATCCAACTTTAACACAGGGGTGTGAACGTAGGCACCAAGTGAAGTGTGAAATTCGCTCAGTCTGTCCGACTATTTGTGACCCCGTAGACCTCAACAGGCACCCCGGGCACCCCTCAAGAGGGCATCTCCACGGCCAACTCCAGATGGCTTAAAACACAGTTCGCACCTCAGGGACACAGCTGTGCACACTCGGGCTTGCGGACCACCGAGCTCTCCCCTCCAGCCTGGTGAGAAAGGACTTGGTTCCTAGAGGAGCCTCAGGCTACAGGGCCACCTGTCCTGCCCCCCGAGTCACATGTGAAGCAAGAGAGCACCCCCCCCACACACACCTCTTTGCCCAGACACTTCCCTGTTTCTTCTCCCTTGAGGCGGGGGACGGGTGTGGCATTTGAGCTCGGGTGTGTCTTGTCCACTCTCTGTGGGTCTGTGCCTTTGGGTAGAAGCCCCCCAACACCAGAGGAAAATAACCTGCCCCACCCCTCCCCGTGGAATGTAAAACTGACCTTGAATTCGGTACCACTTGGGGCTGCAGTCGGACGGGGCCAGTGGCCGGCAGGTCCTGCGGGTCGGCAGACTCTGCACTCCCGCCCCTTTGTACCTCCAGCCCCGCGACGGCCCAGACGCACTCCAGACCTGGGGTCTGCCCAGACAGCCCAGACCCAGGCGGGAACAGACTCGCCTGTTCACGATGCCTAAGCCACAGGTCCTGGGCTTCCTGCTGTGTGTGTTACCAAAACACACTTTTGAGGCAGCAAGAGGGGTGGGCGGTCCAAGTGTTTTTCTGGACACCACAGCACAGTAAGAGGAGCCCTTGGCGCCGTTCCGAACGCAGACGGTGCAGGCCGGTTAAATGGGACGGGGCCCGGGGGCTCTGCACCTTCACACTTCCCTAAGCCCCCTCCTGCCTTCGGCCCCGCCTCCCTGTTCTTAGCTGGTGGAGCGGAGGACTGTAGGCTCGGTAAATGTGGACATCCTTAGGTTGCTGGTTCGATTCCAGCTCGAAGGAAGTGCCTTAGTTGCTGCGGGCTTCCCTGGGGGCTCAGACGGTAAAGCGTCTGCCTGCAATGCGGGAGACCCGGGTTTGATCCCTGGGTCAGGAAGATCCCCTGGAGAAGGCAACGGCAACCCACTCCAGTACTCTTGCCTGGAAAATCCCATGGGCGGAGGAGCCTGGTAGGCTGCAGTCCATGGGGGTCGCAAAGAGTCAGACACAACTGAGCGACTTCACTTATTCCCTGTTCAGTGCCCTCAGGCCGCCTCACTGCCGTGACCCTAAACTTCAACATGGGGCCTGGGCCAGACCTCCCATCCTCTCCTCCACGGACACCTCTGCAACACGGAGGCAGGGATGGTATAGGCGACCAGTGGGGATTCGGGGCACTGCAGGCCTCAGGACTTCTAAGGAGGAGAGAGTTAGGGGCTGCTGGGGGCGGGGTGGGAGGATCTAGTTAGTTAGAAGAGCTAAGGATTTGTCCTGAAGCTGCATCTGTATAGCAATGGATTAAGCGGGATCATGTGCTGGATTTGGGGTAACATTCGGGCTCACAGAAAGAAGGAAATAGCAACCCACTCCAGCATTCCTGCCTGGAGAATCCCAGGGACAGGGGAGCCTGGTGGGCTGCCGTCCACGGGGTCGCACAGAGTTGGACACGACTGAAGCGACTTGCATGCATGCATTGGAGAAGGAAATGGCAGCCCACTCCAGCATTCCTGCCTGGAGAATCCCAGGGACAGGGGAGCCTGGTGGGCTGCCTGCCGTCTTTGGGGTCGCACAGAGTCAGACAGGACTGAAGTGACTTAGCAGCAGCGGGCTAACAGGCATTACCTGGGGTGCTTCAGGGACCCAGGTTGGAAAGGAAGGGATGGGGTTGGGGGGAAGCATGGGTCTGGTCTGGGCAGGAAGCCTCCGTGGGTGCTTAAGTCAGCGACCTCGACCCAGGAAGCCTGTGCGGATCATCCACCACGCCCAAGCCTCTGCCTCCCTCAGCAACCTCCAGTGACAGGGGTGGAGCCCCCGGGGCAGACCGACAGTCCCCCAGCCCCCCTACCCCCACCCCCGCTCGGGCTCCACAGGTCATCCGCAGCCGGTCCACCAGGTGGCGCTATTGAGCCCCTTGCTGCTGCGCGGCGCTCGCAGACACCCCAGGGATGACCAGCGCCCCCCGCCATCCCCCTCCCTCCATCCCCCACTCCCATCAGAGGGGGGAGGCCAGATGGCACACCTGAAATAATTACCGAGTGATTCATCTCTGACCTGAGCAGAGCGGCCTTCGCAGTAAGAATTGAGGCGAAAAGTGAGATAGCCCCCTGGAGAGGACCGGGTCTTGAGGGAGAGGTGGGGTTTACACCGGGGTTGGGGGGGGCGGCCCAAAGGCGGGGGCGGGGGCAGGGCAAGCAGGGAGCTGTAGGGGTGCTCACGGGGAGGGGGGCTCATCCAGATGGAGCTAAACAAGGGCGACGGCTGGCGCGGTCATGTCTTGCCAGGCTGGTTCTCACTGACGGCTGAGTCATCAGGCCAAGGGTGGCACCGAAAGGGCGGTTGGGGCGGGGGAGGTGGCCATGGGCTGCTACCCCTGCTCTGCCCGGGGCTAGTGCCGCCGCTGCCCTCTGCACCAAGGTGACCAGCGGGAGGAAGGAGCCTCATTTCCTGTGATGTCTGACGACCTTGTTCCCGAAGCATCCCAGTTCCTCGTGTCAAGAGGTCAGAGTGGAGATGGCACCCACAGTATGTGGCCGGTGTCCCTGGGGGTGCCGAGGGATGGAGGCACGGCTGGGCCCCGAAACCACTCTCCAATGCCTCCTTCGCAGCTGCCAAGAATCCCAGAGCGAGCACCTCTCCTGTCACCCTTGGAGCCTTCCAGAAACACATGCCTGACACTTGTTTAGAGATCCAGGAGCCCAGAGGATACAGGAGGAGGGGGAGAACACAGAGCGCTCTCCTGGGAAGAGCCTCGGGGCCTCACTGATGCAACCCCATTAGTGGCACAGATGGAAAAACTGAGAAAAGA